TTGTTTTCTATCACAAAGAACAGCATTGGTAGAATTCTATTCATCTACATAAAATATGTAAAAAAAAAAAAACCCAAACAAACAAAAAAAAACAACCCCGGCAGAGTTGATTCTAAACTCTGTCCTTTATGACTAAAAATTGAACAGGAATGAGCTTAGAATGATTATCGTCCTTCATTGTTTATTTTAATAAGACTGAGCATCTCCCAGCTGATCTGGACTCAGCCCCGGAGCAGAGGGATGTTCACCACCAGCAGATGTGAGAAATACTGATTAGTTTGTGTATCTTCACACACACGATAAACAACACACTGTTGTTTATTGTTCCTACAAAACGTACAGGGGCAATGTTTTTGGCATATTTCAAACAAAACAAACGAGGATAAAACATGTTTTTTTAGGTATGCAAATGAAAAAAAAATTGACAACCCATCCAAACATCTGGCTTTGTTTGCAATGTTGCATCTGGGAGTGATTTTCCATATTATAAGGTAGAGATGAGTGTTTTATTCTTGTCATACAAACAGTAGATATTTGTTCATTGTAATGTTTTATTTTTGTGTTGTGTTGAATAAAACATATAGCTGGAGATCTTTAAGCTACAGGGTAGCTATGACATCATCCTTTTTAAAAGATGCTTGTAGGTTTTGTACGGAAAAAAATACAATAAATAAAATAAAGCTTAATCATTTTCATTTTTGAAACTTGTGTAGTGTTTATAAAACATCCATTCTCGACCCTTGAGCTTCACTGACCCTTTCCAAAGACCATGACTCTGTTTAAACTGCCACATCAATTTTAGTAACTAAAATCATTTTCTCCAGTGTACTCTGTATCCAAACCGTAGATAAAGTGAGCATCGGTGTCACAGTGTTGTTCTACAGCAGTGATAAAATTCCTCAAAGCCTGATAAGGTCACTATAAAGTCACTGTGGAGTGTTACAGGGACGATATGGTGATATTTCGCTGCGTTGAGATCACGCTTCCCATATCTGCTCCATCTCCTCTTCATGTTGCTCTCAGCCAGTAGGCCCCTGCTCTGGGCCTGTTATCCCGGCGGTGTGGGCCAAATCGTATTATAATCCCCTCCCTCCCCCTCTCCAACTCTCCCCCTCGCTTCTTGTCCCCTCCCCTCCCGCTCCGTCTTTCAGACAGTCTGTTTTTGCTGCAGTGAACGGTAACCGTGGAGAGGCAGAGATAGCCTACAAACAGTGGGGAAAGAGCGAAGGAACAAAGCAGGAGAAACTAGAAGAAGCTGGGAGATTATTCCAAGAAAATAAAAAGAGAGAAGGCACAGCGGCGGGGGAGAACAAAAAAATTCAAGAAAGCTGCGCGTCAGAAGGAGAGTCATTATTGGAAGGGACCTTACTGGAAACCAGCAACAGAACCGGACTCCGGAGGAGGAATACGACGGTGTGTGCGTTCAAACCGTGCGCTGCTTCAGTTTGTGTTGTGGTTCGGGGGTTTGGCTGTTGTCTGCATGTTTGGGCGGACAGGAGACACCTGTCAGTGCTGACGCTTTTCCGTCTCCAGGAATGTCTCCCTTTGTGTGTGTCTATGAGTGTGTGTGTGTGTGTGTGTGTGTGTGTGTACACGCGTATTACGCAGAGCAAGATCCTAAGAGTCTAAGAGTCTCTGCGTGTCTTGGTAATTTACTCCAAAAATGTGCGTTTTCTTGCGCGCTCCTCGGTTGTTTTGGCTAAATAAGCATCACAACTCGCTGGGAGTGAATCTCATCCCAGCGGCGGCGGCGGCAGACGGGAGGGTTTTTATTTCCTTCTCCAAGTACGGAAGAAGATGTTAGAAACATTTGTGTGGTACTCGTCGCAACGATGCAGGTAGCCGCCAATGTCAACTGTTGTTATGATTATTATCGCCTCTGTTATTACTTTCAACACAAGTGCCCAGCGAGAACTTGTGTTCAGCACGCCCATATATACAGAGAGAGAGCGTGTGGGTTATTTCCCATGCATTCACTTGAGTTTTGTTTTTATTTTTCGCCATCACTCAACAGGAAGGGCTGGAGTAACAATAAACATAACCCACAACCCCTCCCTCCTCCTTCCATTCCCACACATCCCACTCCGTGCAAAATGCTCGGCGCCCCCAATACACACACATACACACACACACACAGAGGCGCACACATGTATGCACCACCCTGCACCCCACCCTCTCTCCTCTCTCCGCGCCCGTCCCGCTGGCTCTAACTACCGCCGCGGTTCGCTCTCAGCGGTGAGCGCGCCGCAGATGGACAGAGGGCTCACCTCCGCGCCGGGCTGCAGCTATTTTTAAGAAATGTGAGAAAGGGGAAGCTGAAGGTGCGTGTGTGTGTTTTAATATGAGAGAAAGAGAGCGAGAGGGGAAAGGAGCAGTGCCACAGCTGATTTTATGCCCGACATTCGTGTCCAACGCCGAGCAGAGCGCACCGAGCACACAGCTAATTCTCAGCGGGCAGCAGGTGCATCTCTGCTCTCGCTTCCTCTTTCTTCTCTCCTGTTTGTTGTCCGAGGCAGCGCTTCCTTTTTGCGTTACATTTAATTAGTGGGGGTTCGGCCATGAGCTGTCCAGAAACACGCGCATCTCTCACTTCCAGTTGCGCGCATGAGCTCGTTAAGGCGCAATAAATTCCCAACATAAGAGGATAAATTATCTTCTTCCTCCTCTCCTTACACCACTCGCCCCTTCTCCATCTCCATCCCTTTCTTGCAGCTTGGCTTCATCACCCCCTCCCCTCCTCCTCCTCTCTCAGCCCCCCTCTCTCTCAGTTTGTTATGACAAAAGCAGATCGATGGCTACCCGGAGCGACGCGTGAGTAACGGGTGGGCCAAGCGTTTATTCACTCAGCGGCTGGGGACGCAATTAGTGGTCAGTTGGCCTGCCCGGTCTGCCTGTTGTTTTTAGCTTCTCCATTGTGTCCCCCCTCCTGCAGGTGACACTCCAGAGCCTCTCTGCCCTCCTGAGCTTTCAGTGAGACAGGCGGATCTGCGTGCCCGACCATGGCCTTCCCATCAGCCCCCTGTGCTCTATGGATTGTCAGCTTATTGACTGCACTATTCGCAGCTGCGGTTCACAGCAACATTGTCAGTGGTAAGCACATCTCTCTCTCCCTCTTCATCTGTCTGTCTTGTATTCTCGCAGTGTCTCTCCTGGGGCCTCTGACCTCTCTGACCCTCTCCTTCTGCCTCTGGTGGAGCTGCCTAACTGTCCACTTGTTGTTTCCTGTATTATGAAAAGGGAAGCAGAGGACCGTTATTAATCACATGGGACACTCCCAGACTCAGTGGAATTTTGTGCAGTTGTTTTTTTTTTTTTCAGGAACGTGTGTATGACTTCCACATGGAGCTGGAGTTCAGCGTGCATGCTCATTGCAGGAGTGGTACAGTTTCACCTAAGCTTGTTTTTCACAAATACAGTGACACGCAAAACTTGGAAAAAAGTGTGGCATAAACCTAAATGGTGAAACTCTGTAAATACTTTGTTGAACTAATATTCACTACTGTTGCATCAGCAAATCCAATTTAGAGACAGTTTTTTTTTGTCTTTGTGAAACAGCTCAAGCTAAAAGTACATTTTTGTGTCTCGCCAAATATTGTCATTTAGATTTTATGGGCATCTTTCACAAAGTATCATGCTGCCACCACCGTGTTTATCTGTGGGATGATGTGTGAAGGTGAAGGGTAAAGTGTAGGGTTAGTTTGCTCGTAGATCAGAAAGCTCTGATTTGGTCTTATTTTATCGCCGTGTCTATAAAGTGATGCTTTTGCTCTTTCTGCTTTGCAAAAGAGTGTTAGCTCAGCTAAACTGGACAAAGAGTGTTTGTGAAGATCAAGTTTCAAGTGTTGCCAATGATTGTTGGTTGGATTCGGGTCTGGGCTTTGACTGAGCCATGAATGAATATACTTTGATCTTAACCATTTCATTGAAAGTCTGGCTGTAGTTCTTGCTGATGTGGAATCTAGTCTCAAGCTGTTTGCAGGTTGTATTCCAATGTTCCCATCAGCTTCACTGTCTCTCCTGGAGAAAAGATTTTCATAGAGTGATGCAAACCTTGTCCTTAGAGCTCACTATCCTCTCTGACTTGATATTTTCTTCTTGATTCTTTATTAAAGGCTTTTGTAGAACTTGCTAGGAAAGTGAATCAGGTGTGCTGGAGCAGGCACCCATCTGAAACATGTAGCTTGGTGGTGACTCAGTGTGCATTCACAGCAGCCCTGTTTGATCCACTTTAATCAAACTCTTGGGGAGGTGTGAATGCACAATCAAAATTTGATGTGGTCCAAAAAGCAAACTCTGGTTCAGAGATTGAAGTGAACTCTGGTGCGGTTCCAATGCATATGTGAATGCAAGTGGCCTGGAAACTACTCCAGTCCACTCAGAATGCCCTGTGTATTTAGCACAGGGCATTCTGGGTAAATACAACCTAAATGAGAATGCAAGCCTAGTTTTAGTGGGTGAAATGGTTTGTGGTCTTATGACAAAACCAAAAGAGAAATCAGGCACTCCATTTTTGTTTACATTTTGTGAAAAAGGAAGTTGCATTCATGCCTTCTTCTGAGGTTTTTGTGCAGTTTTGGTCTCCAGTCAACTCTGAGGTGTGAAAACACCTTTGGGAACATGTGTTTTAGAGATAAAAAGCAAAATTTTTTGCCACTCTTTGGTAAAGGACGACAAATTTGCCCACCTCCACTGTGAACCTGCAATTGGTTTTGCTGGATTTTATATGGAGGCTACAGAGTAAATGGGCAGAAAAAATGCACTGAATACATTTCTAATTTATATTAAAATCCCAATAAAATACATAAACATTTGGAATTGTAAATTGACCAAATATGAAAAAACTGAAAAGGAATGAATTTTCCAAAGCCCTGCACAGACAGAGAAAGTGAACAAAGTCTGAGTTTCTGTCTTTAGTTCTCAGTATCTCGCAATATTGTTTCTGATGCTCTGCAAACCGTCTGTTTTGTTGAAGCTTCATATAGCCTGGACAAACAAGGCGGTCATCTTGTGCTTTCTCAGATTGGAGCCAAACATGTTTCCACACACTGTGCAGCTCAGATACAGAACACTCGTCATGGCTAAAACTGGAACTGCGGCTGAGGCGGATGGTAAAAGAGGATTTGATGAGAGAAGCACTTTGTAATGATATCCCTGCTGCGAGTACCAAGTGAGCAGGAATACACTGTCCAATGTGCTTCCCAATTACATAACTCTCAAGTGACTGCCTGCCGGTAACACAACCTTCAGAGGGCAGCTTGTACCCGACACAAAATGGCGAGCAGCGATTGGCCCTCGAGCCGTTGAAAATTGATTGACACAGGTAGAATGTTGTTGCCATTTTCTCATTACAGTTGGGGTTTTAATTGCACAAAGTGTTTGGCACAGAACAGAGGGAGATTTCAGCAAGCAGGGAGCCTTCTAAAAGACATTCCATGATTTGCATTTGGAATATATGCTCTTAAGGGCCCTCTGCATTCAGCTGATCTCGCCTACACACTTTTTGCAATCACACCATAAATGAGTACGATATGCACACCCGCACATCTTTGGGATTCTTTTGACATCATTTATCCATATGAGCAATGTTTCAATTTCTTTTGAATTAAATGCTGTTTAGTTTCTGTGCAAAGATTATTAATGTGTTCCTCCTGTGGACAATCCGGCTGTGCTAAGATGAGTAAGAAATTCGGAGCGCGGTGAGCTGCTTAGAGAGAAGAAGAGGAGAAATGGCCACCCCAGACTGAGCCTCTGATGATGAAATATCAAACTCTTGTCAGTTTGCTGACCCAGACATGTGTAGCTCGTCATTGAAACCCAGGTAGAGGTTCATTATTTGGGCCCCAAAATGATTCTGGCTCCCGTTCAGAAGCGTGTCACATTTGATTAAGGTGTGCCCACGGGGAGGCCTGACCATGCATGACCAATTCTTGCTTTAGTTTCACCTGAGCACTGTTTTACATTATCATGTCAGTCAACGAGAGTAATTAAGCCTGAGACGTCTGACAGCATTTAGGAGATGAGAAAACACGTCAAAGAGTGAAAGTGAAACGCGGGATGAGGGATGGAGCGCTGGCCTCTACTGCGGCTTTAATCTGCATGTTTTAATCTAAAGTGCAGCAGAATTTTTTCCTGTATAAAACTTTAATTAAAATCAAATTCACTTAACACAACTACTTTGAAATAAGTCAGAATCACTTAGAATAAGTTAGACAATAGAATCACAATATTTCACAAAGTGAACAATGCCTCAGTGTCCTGAATACAAAATGAAATGGCAAACTTAGTTATGGATAAAAATGTATACACGCTTACAGCGCCTTGCAAAAGTATTCCTGCCCCTGAACCTCTCACAGGTTTTCTTCCAGAATTACTCTATATTTCCTCTTCCCATCAACCAAAATCAGTTTCTCTGTCCCTGCTAGAGAAAACATCCCCCAGCATGATGCTACCAACACCATGTTTCACAACAGAGATCTTATGGGATAGACCAAATGATGAGAATCTTTTTTTTACATATTTTTTGTGTCTCTTAGATGACGTGGTGTTTTATAAATGCAACATATTATAGCTTTCTTTGTGCTACTCTTCCATTGAAGGCAAACTGTGTGACTAAAAGTTGCCCTGGTTACACATCCTAAGACGCACAGAGTCACAGAGGCATTTTGGCTGATTCTCCTACTGACTCAGCCACTTCCTTGGCCTAACCTCGGTAGGTTTACAGTTGAGCCAGGCGTTTTTATTTTCTCAACGGGACTTAACATTTTCTAGCACATTCTCAAATCTTAACCCCTGACCTGTTTGCTGTATTCCTTGGTCTTCATAGTATTGTTTGGTCACTAATGTTCTCAATAAACATTAGTTTGAAATAATAAATAATTCATTATTTGGAGGCTTCTGAATGAATCGGATTGTACTGTTTAGTTTTTATAGGTATCAGAATGGCTGCACAGTGGTACATTTGTTAGCTCTGTTTTCAGGGCCTTTCTGCAACGGGTTTGCATAGATGCATGTGACAACAAAGGTAATTGCCCTCAATAAATCTTAAGGGAGCATTTCAAATCCACAAACCTGATTTAGTTGAGTAAGGTGCTGCAAAACATCAGGTGTGGTAACACTGATGAACCTGGAGAAACTGCTGAGAGCCTTGGGGAGTTTCTCTTTTCTACCTGAAGGGCCGGGCACCCTGGAAATGGGTTGTTAGGTTGTGTGTGTTGAGCTTTTGTAAAATCTGTGAGAGAAATAGTCAGTGACAGTAATTATCACGCCTGCCTTACCCATAACTTCAGCCGGTCTCCTAGGTGAATGTGTGGGTTCCTTTCAGGTACTTTAGCTTCCTCCTATGATGCAAAATATGCATGTTAGCATAATTAGCCACTATAAATTGCCTGTAGGGATGAGTGTGTTATTGCATGATTATTTTCTTGGCCTGTGATGGACTGGTGGTCTGTCCAGGGCGTCCTCTGCCTCTCGCAGAGTGACGGCTTACTGTTTTACACCGCTTCAGATTTCATCTAACGGTTTCAGACTAAACGCTGTCAGTTTTTATTCCTAAAAATTCTTGAAACTATTTCTCTACTTCCTTCTATTTCACAGATGATCTACTTTCTGAGTCTGTCACCTAAAACAGGATTAAAATACACTGAAGTTTGTGGCTGCAGCATTAATAGATGTGAAAAAAATTTCAAGATGGATGAATCCTTCTCAAAGGCACTGTATGTTAATCTTGTATGCGCAGTTTTGCAGTTGACATGTGAGTAATGCCCAAACAGCCGGGCTGAACTTTAAGCAGGAAGCGTAAGCCTTGAGCACGTGTCCATCGCTCACATCTGCTCCGATCAGTCTGATTGGTGTTGTTGTGACACTGCGGCAGAGCCATTAAGTAGAAGATGGATTAGAGTGGTTGAGTAGTCAGATAATGGGTCTTCATAATGGAGAAGTCCACGCAAGGAGGACCTGGAACAGAATGGTCTACTTAACATAAATAATTCAGCATTATGTATCAGAGAGGAAAAATGATTAGCTCAGCAATCAATGTTGGAGCAGATGAACCTTCTGAAAGCAGGGGAGCCCATTACTGCTTGGCTGCTTGAGTCTTCAGTAAATTAAATTTAAGAGGACTCTTTTGTCTCAAACAAATATGAGCAAAAATATCTGAAAATGTTATTTTATTCACATAGTGTAATTTTATAGCATAATCAAATAGCTACGTTGCTACGTATTTACTAAATATGATTTCAAAGAAATCATACGCCTTTAGGAAGTTATCACAACAGCGCTCTTCTATTAACTTTTAAGCCTTTTTACTAACGTTGCAGATGTGCAGTTTAATCAGGTGTTTGCTAATTGCTGCCGCTAGTCTGAAGAAGCGGAGTGGCGGAGTCGTAGGGTAGGGTTGCACCATGAGGTGGAAACTTGGAACCTCAGAAACTGCATGTCCAAGGAGAAGGTAGGTCCAGGCAGGTATTTTGCGCAGTTGAGTGGCTGCCATGGGAAATTAAAAGATTTCTCAAACATGCAATTAAAGAATCAAGCCAACTCTCCAGATATGTTTTTGATGAGGGAATAATGCAAAGCTCAAAAAGGTCTATTTTATGTAATACTGCCCCCTTAAAGCATTGCATTGAATCTGTGTCATGACTCCTGACCAACCGCTCACTCCCAAGTCCCTCATCTCTTTCTCATATGAATGTCAAGTCATGAAAAGGACAGTTGAGTCGTTTTCTCGACTCATCTGCGAGCGGGCTTCCTTAGAGCAACCGAACGAATCGGGGAGACACTAATTGCATGCCATTTGACATATCCATTTCCACAGCTGGATGTGCAGCCATGCGATGTGGATGGAAAGTGCCTCTCAGAAGGGCACAGATTAGGCATGCAATTGGCTGGGCTATGCCCTGGTTCTGTAATGTTGACCCAATTACCCCGGGGCTGTGGTGGAGAGCAGAGGGTCGGTTCAGTCGACAACAAGCAGAGCGACTTGCCGCGACCTCCCATCAGCCACCTGGCTCTTAGAATCCACGGCACACCCCAGCAGGAAGTTTGCTTTTGTGACCAGAAACATGCCTAATTGTTTATTTACTCTACGAGTTCTGCTGGTCGGAGCCATTGAATGACTCCTCATGCCTCCAGCTGAGGCCGGTAATGAATAAAGATTAAAGGATGGGAGCTGTGTGGACTTGTTGTTTGTGTGCTAAGATTTACAGGCGGGAAGACTCTGCATGTCTGCCAGCGGTTCACTTTATCCTCAGACAAAATGGGTTCCTTCCCCATTGGACCAGGCCTTTCTCATTGGCTCAAAGCCCACTTCCTGTGTGCACTGCTGTTATTTGCTGTTGACTTCCTGTGTGCCAAGATGGGAGAATATTTGGCTAATACGCTTTACAGCTAGCACACAATAGCGGTAGGCGGTTTGGATGAGAGGCCTCTGCCTGTTAACAAGGCTGACTGATAAGCAGTGACTCATTAACAAGCTGAGGTACACAGAGCCTGGGGGAATTGCCGCCTAGCCACTGTGACATTAATAAGAGGCCTAAGCTATTTTTCCATTTGGCTCCAGTGGTATAGACTCAACTATTTTGGCTTCTTCTTGGCTATTTAGAGGCTATAGTGTTCTTCCATTTGTTGCAGACACTGCTTACCTGGTCTGAACTGAGTCTGGGCTGATCAGTATTGTCAGAGCGGGTTACAGTTAATGGCATCTGCTGCATTATTGGAAAACTAGACACCCCTCATTAGCTTTCTCCTGATTCAGAAACATCTGGGGAGGAGCAGATTTAATTCTTCTTCCACCACTATGCTTCAGTAGTATATTCCAGCCTATATCCTGAGTTTTATTAAGACTGATGAGCATTCTAATATTGTTTAGATCCAATTAAGTATCTTAAACACATTGTGTACTTTGCTGGAGAGGTTCAGACCTCGTGTTTCCTGTCAAAAGTTTACCTCCAAAGCCACATTACATCCATTGTCTTGTGCTTTTATCCTACTTTGATCCTGCAAGTGTTTTGTCGTCTAGATCAGCTTTGTGATAACAAATTGGATCCCGATTGGCCGACATTAGATTGCAACAGATTCCCGTCTGGCAGAAACCCAATTATTTCTCCTGTTCATCATGCCGATTAATTAAGGCACTGTGGCTGATTGATTAAACTTCTAACAAAGCTCCAGCCATGGGCGCCAGGGCCCTTGGGAGGATTTTCATCTCGCCTTACACCCACTAGTGTGTCTCCACACCCTCGTCATAGATTTACACAGCTGCCGGTAGGCATAAAAGAAGGGAAACTGAAAGCTTCACTAGAAAAAATGCATTTTCTGCAAAAATGCATTGTGAAAGCTGAGGTAAAGTAATGAGCCTACATTAACTTAAGAACATGAAATGACAGTTGAATTGTACAAAATAATTTCAGATTTTGCTACAAACTTGTAAATACATTCCAAAAAAAATACAATGGCTCTGCTTAAGTTAATACTTTTCATGGACTTTTTCAACTTTACAGTTATTAAATAAAAATGTTATTTATTCTTATGTAGATATGATGAAATATGAAGATGACAAACTGAACTAGATGGATACAGCTTAACTTTGTCAAAGTTTTTCAGATATTGAATTGTCATTTATGCTGTTGTAAAATATTTTTGCCTAATTTCTTTGCAATAAGTTTATGCAAATTGTTACCTGACATTTCTTAGTTTTAATTTAGAATGAAACCTTTTTTTGGACAGTTTAATTACAATCTTGCAGTAAAATGCATAGAAGGAGTCTTATTTTCCACAAATTTGGTAAGTTTGCTAAAGTATTATTTGGAGTTAAATTCTTTATCTCTGCATTTATATATAAAGATTACTCCATAATCTTAATAACCACTTTCGTTACTACTTTGGGAATACAAACTTCATTCTACCTATTTTTTTTTTTTGCTTGACCACATGTTTGTTTGAAAAGCAAAGTGTCACAAAATGTTTATTACATTTGAAAATGACAGCTGTGCACCCTCAAGATAAGGAAAAACATTTTGTAAATGTTCATCCAAGAAATCTTAGCTTAGCATGTACTTTAGTTTAGGTTTATTCTCATGTAATAATGTCTGATACAGCTGATAGCTTTCAAACAAAACATTAAACAACGGTGACTCACCCAGCAAATATTAGTCTGAAAATAAAAATAAATCTATTCCAAGTCTATGCAATTGTTTTGACTGCTGTGGTGAAGTTTTACTCAGCTCAGGATGCTAGATGCTTGAATCTGAATAGGGAATTGATTGTATACTTTGTGATTAAGTTGGCTAATATCCTGAGCACTTGGGGAACTAATAAATCATAAAAAACTCAATCTAAGATGGTTAATTGAACCTAAGTGTGGTTTTTGTTGTGATGGGAGATAAAAGCAACACAGATACTTCAAAAATGTAAGAGGATTTTATGTTCCAAAAAACCCCATTTCATTTGTCCAAGTTTAGACCTGATTTGAAAGCTCCCCATTTATTATTTATTTATTATTATTATTTATCAAAGTTAAGCTTTTAAAAAAACGTAAACGTTGGAAAACCAGGTATTTGACGAATGAGGTGAAAGTTGTTAAAGTTGAATGCAGGAGTTAGTTACTACAGAATTGCAACAGGATCACAAGATGCAAGTGTTTATAAGAAATATTTTGCCCAACTAAATGTGAGGCAGTCAGATTGTAGAGGTATCAAGAGCGTCCAAAGAAGTCTCCATCACACCTTGTCAATTTGAGGAAGCTCACACCCACCCAGACCCATTCAGCCATTGTGAGATTACATCAGGACAGATCAATCTTGCTCGCTACCATCATAATAATAGCAAAAGCCATTTAGAGACTGTAGGAGAGAAGGGCTCTTGAGATTTTACAAAATGTTAACAGACTCTACTACCTCTGCTATTAGGAGACAAATCACGCTGCAGCAGCTCAGGGTCGAGAAAATTAGGGGACCTGCATTTAGCAAAGAGTCGGCTTTAAGCCATCACTTCACAAAGACGCAGTGGATTAAACAAAGCCAAACAAAAACGCCAGCTTTGAAATACATTAAATCGCCTCTTTTTCAACTAGAATCCTTGCTTTTGCTCTCAGCTGGCTTCTCTTCTTGATCAGGTTGCACCCTTTCAAATCCCCCTCAACTCTACCGCCAAATGTCATATTCTATCTCCTGGAATTCTCTGTGGGAGTGATTTAATTGATTGCCGTTGAGATGGAAATTACCCTTTCTGTTACTGATGCAGCTGGTGAGATCAAGAACTTTCTCTCTGAGAAGGTGTGTAGTCATACTTAAAAGAAAGTTCACCTTCTATTCATTTTGGGACTGTTTCCGGGAGACATGATAAAAATAATATTTCAGAGTTTCTAATTTCTGTGAATATTTAAATCAAAGCAAATAACCAGATTGTCCACCTTCAAAGCTTGAGTTGTACAAAACTAAGTAGGATGCCAAGTTTTGACCACCTCAATAATAAAATGATCATTTTTTAGTAAAATGTCAAGATGGAAAGAAAGTGAACATTGCAGCAATTCACTACAATACCAGACAATGCAAAACTCAAACAAGCTGTGAAAATATCTAAGGAATCCATGTTAGTCTGCGGAGGACTCAGTGAGCATGTTAAATGTTAAAGTGTCAAGTCTTTGCTTAAAAGAGTGCCCAGAACAAATTTCCTTCCCTCTAAAAAGAGTATGGCATCACAATAAGAAGAGTTGCATATGATTGAACCACAGACCTCTAGAGAAAAGTCCATTATAGATCTAGAAATCTTTGAAGAAACCCAAACACTGCATTTAATAGTCAAACACAATGGGGAAGGAATAATGACATCTTTTTAGTAACAGTACCTGGATGCCTTGGAGTCATTAATCTGACCCTGATCTAATCTGAATACTCAAATATTCCACAGTCAAATGTGACTCCATCTGTCTGGCAGATCAGGCCAGACAGATGGTTTGATCTGATCAGTCATAAAAGATTAACAAAGAAACAATGTTAAATAAAGATAAGTGGTTGAAAATGCTTTCACAACTGTGTAAATAAGGACTACTTTCGTTCAAAGTGCTAAAGGTTGTTGTACAACATAATGAACCATGGAGTGCGCTCAGTTTTTCACACATGGCTTTTAAATTTTGACTTTTTTGTTGAACCAGGAAAAGCGTTATTGACAGTAGTGAATCAGTTTTAAGCTTTTGGATACTTAAAGGGAACCTTTTATGCAAAATTTACACTTTTCACATTTTTCTCCTTGCGTTTAGGTTTCTACTGCTTCTGAAAAACAGCCCAAACGCTTAAAACAAAACACCCAGCCGGTTTTTGGAACAACGTTAATATTCTTTGGTGTCTGGAAAATGAGCCGTTTCAAAAACTTCTGGAATGTAACGTCACAAATCACCATTCACTTCCCCTCATCATGCAACCTCAATGGCTGCTGGAAAAGACAAGTGTTTTGCTGTTGACTTACCATCCAGAAAACACTTACTGGATTCTTGTTTGTTGTGCAGGAGGCTCTACTTCTGCTTTTCAAAGATGTACAGTTGCATGAATGTGCATCTGTTTGTAGCTATTTTCACATGCGAGAGTAAATGTTGAGTTGAGGGGTGTGGCCAGCAGCAGTTTATTTGGATTTAAAGTGACAAGAGGCCCTAAAAAAGGCTAATATAGGCAAAACTGAGCAGACTACATTCTCATTATCTAAATTATTTGGTACACTAACATTTTCAAAGAGGCATAATAGGTCACCTTTAAAGTAAACCTTGAAAGGACCCCCACCTGTTTCTCCTGATCTTTGAAATGAAATGTAGGGTGTACTTTTTTTAAACCATGACTGAATGTGCTCGCTGTAGTCATTGTGTTTCTGTGTTAAACTCTGACCGTGACGGTGTGCCAGAGGACGTGAGTGCATGGCTGTGGAGTGCAGCATTTTGTATTGATTGAGTCTGAGTGCCGAGGGTTTCCCCCCTGAGCGCTGGAGCTCCACCACCAATGAAACGGCAGAGGCTGCTCTTGTTTATTGCCTCTTTTTGATGATGCCATCACTTCAGCTCATAGAAAGCCAGTGTGTCTTTGGGGACATCTTATCACCGATACCACAGCCATAAAGCCCTTTTGAACTCACCTGTGTGCTGTTGAGGGGAGTGTTCTCCAGTCCGGTTTGTGTCGGGGATATTACTGTCTGCTCGCTGGATGGCCGGTTATTGACTCACTAATAGCGCGGTCATGTATGGAATCAGGAAAAGCGTCGTAAAGCAGGTCTCTAGATGACATAAACCCTGATGGATGTTGGATCCATGAAAATAAATCCTCGGAAATCATATGTTTACATTATATTGTCACATATCTGTGTATAAATATCCTCTCCCCCTCTGAAGCTACAGCATCACCATAAATAACATAACTTTAAATGGCTCTGGGGTGTTTGTAATTTCCCACTTTATGATGTAAGAAGCGAAAGAACCGAGTGCTAGCTTCAGCTTTAAATCTGAGAGAAATCTATTCTCACTGTGCAATATTGTTCTGAAGCAGGGCTGAATATTGTCTTCTATATAAAGGATGCATCTATTGTTTTAGTTGCAAGTTTTATTGTGAGGCTGTTGCATCATTATTAAAGTTTTGCTATTGTGAACAGCAACTCAGAGGTATTCATTTATGCTCTCTGCTGCACCGCTGTGCTCTTTATGCTTGACGATCACATCATACTGCCCTGCTAAAAGTCTCCTGTTTCCAGTATGACTCTGCTATTAGAATGCAGTCTGTATCATTTAGATAAATGCCTCTTACAGTAGTCTGCACTTTGAGTACGCACCTTCATCATCATTTAAGATGGAATTGTAATTGGATAAAAAGTTTTTCTTCATTCAGCCAGTTCAATAGCAGGTAGTTGCCAGTTTGCATTGTCTGAAAGAACAGCTATGACAGGCGCAGGATCATTAGATCCTATTCTATAGAGCCGACGTTTGCTTTTCAGTGAAGTGGAAAAGGTCGTCTTTTACGGTCCTATCATGGAAGTCCACAAAAATGATGACATGGGAATTTTTTTCCCCCAGCAGTTTGAAGCTAAATGTTATATAAAGGAGATAGAAGTGAGCAAATGTTGACAGTAGAGTTTGTTATATAATTAAAGTTTTAGTTTGGAGTTAAATAACACTTTCTTGCACCCTATTCACCCTTATGAGTAAAACACAGGAGGTTCACGCCTCGTCATGATTTCATGAAAATATAAAAATGCATCCGTGTTCCACATGTGATTATCTACTTGTAAAACATGTTTCTTCACGTTGTCAAAAAAAATAACATATGTGAAACATATTTTTCCTTTTGAACATGACATTCCACATGTGAAACATTTTGAAAATATTTTGTATGTGGAATGAGTTTGACATATGATTCACATGTGCAACACATAGCTGCCACATGCAAAACACTGTGTGACTTCACAATATAATTTCCACAGGTGAAACATGGGAAAATGTTTCACATTAACATTTTTTTATGTTATTAATATGCTGTATCATTCATGAATATCATAAATACATTACCTTATAATTTTCACATGTGTAATTTGTGGGAAAACATTTCATATGTGGGATTTATTCCACATGTGTTTTAGATGTTACTGCATGACATAATTTCCACATGGGACAAAATATGTGGAATATTTTCCAAATTGGTTTCACATGTTACGACGTAAAGCAATTGCCATATGGTGATGCATGTGTTTGCATGTTGCTGCACAGTGCAGTTTGTACATGTGAAGCACGTTCCAACATATTAAAAACTTGTAAGAAAAAAATGGTTACATGTGTAATATTTATCTATGTGTTTCACTTGTGGGTGGGTAGACATTTCACATTGGGAATTTATTTTTCACAAATTCCTGGGCAGTTTTTCAAGAATGCTACGTCACAAATCAGGCATTTTTCTGCTCCCCTGTTCAGAAAAATGTTTTCAAAGAAATACTTGTTGGCTAACAAGGGCAGAGTGAGAATCTAAGTGTGAAGAAAGGCCATGGAGGGAAGCTGGTCAGTTCAGGATTGAGGGAAACTCCAGTTACAGCAGGGAATCCCCCTGTTCCTTCATTAGACAGAGCTTTCATGCAGGACAGCTGTGGCTCTGTGAGATGAGTAATCAGCAGATTGTGAGTTTGAGTTCAGTTTCCCCAACCACATGTCGAAGGGTTCTGGTGTAAAGCAACGAGTTGTTTTCTAATCTATGCAGAAAATATATAGTGAAGTGTGTGTGTGTGTGTGTGTGTGTGTGTGTGAGCATTTGTGACTGCAGCTTGGTGAGTGAGTCTTTTATAGTTAAAGCTTTTTGTGTGGTTGTTGTGACAGGCAGTTGAGCTGAATGGACACTTCCATCCTTACGCTGTCGAAGTGTTATTCTTCAAATAGACAAAATTTATTCCGATAGGTCACATGTAAAATTATACACATGCTGAATAATTCCTGTCATCACGTGTTCTGAGATTTTGCTCTTGTAAAGCGCAAGATTTTTTTTCCAAGGTAACGAGAAGATACAACCACATTTTATTGGCTTTCAGATGTTTGTTTCATCTCTGATTGTTGTCCTCCTTACAATTATTTTTAAATAAGAGTGTAAACGATATCAAACCCGGCTAATGTCGAGGTTATTATCCAATTTCCTCATTTCAAGCCCTGGTGCATGCCGCCACCCAGACAGATTCTCTCTTGATTCGATACCGGTTGAATCCTTTTATATAATGAAGTGCTGGCAGTGATTGTGACTCACAGGATGTATGATAGCCGTCTGACGAGATCCGCTGCTTCCATCTCTTCTTGTCTTAAGTGGAAGTCGACTGCTGAATAAAAGCATATTGTTGCTCTTATCCTTGAGTTTTGAGAGGGCCAGATACATGGTTTTGTTTCTAGTAACAGCTCCTCCTTTTTCTGCTTCAAGGATTTCTTTTTAAAAGATGTTGAAATTCATTCAGTAGCAGGTACAGAAGGAAAGTGAGCAGCTTTAAGACTCCATTTATCAGAGTTGAAAATAAGTAAATAAGAGTAAATGCCAAAAGAAAAAAAGTAGTTACTCTGATGTTATGACTCCCTCCAAATTTATGCACGTCTGCATACCTAATTTGTTCTAACAGAAGTGAAGCTCAACAGAAGCAACTGTTGTTGTAATACCCAGTGAATGTTTTATGCTTGGAAACCTTTAAGAAGACTACGCTGATTTCATTTTAATGAGAAATACAGTCAGACACAGAGTAGGAAGCTACAGCGAGGAAAAGGTTAAGCATTATTTAAGGTCACCCCATCAATTAGGCAGAGAGTATTCTACATATGGAGGCTTTAAATTCACACACAGCTCAGTGTCATCTGGGTTTACATTACCTTGAAAAGCTTCTGTAAGCCTTGAACTTTTTCACATTTGATCATTTTTCAGCTGCAAACATAAAGGTAATTTAGTGGAAGTATGTATGATAAAACAACAACAGTAGTCAGTGAAGTGAAAGTCCACAGAAACAGTTTTATAGATATTTTATAAATAAAACTGAAAACTGTGCCGTGCATTTGTATTCAGGCCTTTCCCTGCGGTTACAGCTGCAGTTCTTTTCAGTTTTGTCGCTGCACTGTTTTACATTCTATCTTAAGCTTTGTCAGATGGAATAGAGAAAAAACAAGATTCACACAACATAATAAAACTTTCAATCTGTCATAACAGAGTTAAATGAAAAAGTCAGAGACATACTGTTATTTACTCATATTGCTATTCGTAGTTAGTTTTGTCACTGAAGACAACGATTAAGAATTTTAACTGTTATTTGAACCTTGAGAATGGAACAGGTTCAGTTGGGTTTGATGCCATTCCCAGGTTCAAGTATCAGCCTGGAAAATAAAACAGATTGTATGTAGCACAAACTGAGAATCATGGATCTCAGCAATCCAACTGTGGACCTCGCTGCTGGTTTAGTGAATGTCCTTGATGGTGAACTTTCACCCGAGTCTCAAGTCTTTTCAGTTTGTTTGTAAGAAACAATTAAGACCATGTATCATTTTTCCTTCAGTTAAAAATTGTGAACTATTTTGTGTTGCTCTATCGCAGAGTCTCGAAAAAGACATTGCAGTTTGTGTTTTTAAAGTAGCAAACACATAAAAAGTTCTTTTTCGAGGCACTTGCGTATCCTGGATCGGGCCCCTGACAACAATGAAGGTATGTTGAGCACATGACGGGTGAATGTGCGTTTTGGCGACGGGGCCGTCGCCTCGCGGTGTAACTCGCCGCTGCTGCGCCGGTTGAAGACAAAAGCACCAAATAGGCATCTCTAATCTCCCTGCTGAATGAATTGGAAACAAAGAGAGGAGGAACGCAGACACAGAGGCTTGGACACACATAGGATAAGCTGATTACCAAGGAAAAGAGGGGAGGGTGAGAAAGAAAGAGAGGGAGTGTGGGAGAAATACAGAGGGATGCACGTGAACAAAAAAAAAAGCTTACAGTAAGGGGGCAGAAGGGCAGGGAGATGGAGGCGGCGAAGGTTGGAGGGGAAAAAAAAGTGAGCTCTCTCTAATGATGGGGTGCAGAGACCAGAGAGAAAATGAAAAGAACCAGCAGCGAGGGAGGAATAGAGGAATAAAGGTGAATGTTGAAAAGGATGAGGCATGGCGTGCTACACAGAGCATGCGATAGGAAAATGAAGGTTATGCATATTTGCCTCTGATATCCTTCTTAGGCACGCGACACAATCAAAAACAAGACATTATGGAAATGTGAGGCAGCCATGGCAATCTAGCTGCTACCTGAGACATCTCATCTCCTCTGCTCAGCAGTTGTAATATTTACAAATGGAATTACAGTCAATCCAGGTGTTGGGGCTAAATATACAGCTAATTAAAATTAATGAGATTTACTTAAAAAAAGAATATGTTCCTTTCATAAGCTCCTTATGTCTTCATGAGAATCCGCAACACGCACTGACACACGCGGCTTTTTTTAGCAGTGCATTTAGAGATACACACAAACACACACTCACACCTCGATTTGATTCACTCTCCTTCACTTGGTTTTCTCACAGCCTGCTAGGCAGAGTATTAAGAATGCCCGCGCGCTCGTACGCGTGCACACCGACGCTCTGCCTGTCTGTCTCTTGGCCGGCTCCGCGCTCGCGCCGACTAAAACATGCTCCCTGTTCAGTGAACATGCAAGTTCCCGACTGTACGTCAACGCGCACACACACATCCATATAGGCGCATTCACAGGCAGCCTGGGAAGAATGTGTAAACAGATGCTAACACACCCAGAAACGCACATACAGGTGTTTTATATTTATGCATGAAGACACAAACAAAAGCTCGAACGCTGCTTCACACGTTCTCAAGGCTCCGTGGTCTTTACTTAAACAAAAATGCTTCTCTGGGCCAAGCTGTTGGCTGCCAAGGAGAAAAAAACCGTTTGGCAGGCCTGGCTCTGCATACAGACACAGCCTGGCGGTTGCACCTTGTATCACCTGTGCATCTACACCACCTATTCATACTCCTTGAACTTCTTCCAAATTTATCATGTTATGCTCTCAAACGTGAATGAGTTTTATTGGGATTAAAAGACTAAAAAAAAATGAAGAAGGAGGGAAATGATGCAAAGTTTTTGAAAGTTTTTACCAAGACAAATCTGAAAAGTGTGACATTTGTTACGTAGTCAGCCCTCCTGTGTCAGTACTTTGTACACCCACCTTTTCTGTGATTTGGGCTATCGCTCCACCAGCTTTGCACATTAAAAAACAAAACAAAAATGTGCTACTTTTTCTTTGCAAAATAGCAGATAATCCAGATCAGAAGTGGAGAATCTGAACAGCAGTTTTCAACTCTGAACTTGATTAGATTTAAGTCTGGACTGTGAATTGGCCGTTTTAACACACAAAGCATTTTATTACCAAGAACAGGATTTTTATGAAGGAACACAAAATGCAGAACTTTATTTTCTGCCACAAAACTTTAAAATGTGGAAATAAAAAATAAATTAATAAATAAAAAAGAGAAGTTCCTGTGCTATTTGGGAACATTCATTTCATCTGGAGCTAGAATGACGACGGAAAAGAGAGGTGCGCTCTGTGGTGCATTCAAGTACAACTTGCAAAGTAGATTTTTTCATTTATTAAGACAACAATATAGAGACTCTTCACAGTCGTAAATAAAAAATCTTAGCAGCAAATATTTTCAAGTGTTCTTACATTGATTCTATCAGGTTTTATAATGTTTGACAAACTAAATCTTCCATTTATACTGACACTAAAATGACAGAACACATTGCTGCCAAAAAATATTATATTACATAAAGTAAAAATAAATAAATAAACAAAACAGAAAACATTTGTTTCTTTTACTTGAAACAAACTGAACTGTTACTTTAAAACTAAGGTTTGTACTGATGTATCATTTTTAATGTTTACATAATTTATTCTGATGGAAGGTAAACTGTGGGTTCAATCTTTTGCTCAGTGACTTTCTTTTTTGTACACAACATATTTAAGTGAAATGTCCAGAGTTTGGGATATTGTTTCATTACCCAGGCCTGTTTGAAGCCAAACATCCCCACAGCATGATGCTCCCACCTCCATGTCTCACTGTGGAAATGGTGCAATAGTTTTTCACCACACAGTTTTTTGCAAGTTCAGTTTCATCCTCAACCTTTCAGTCTCCTTTCATCTGAGCTTTTACTATTGTGTGGCCTACAGGAAACTGAATGGGACTTCTCATAGCAGCCTATCAAAAATTGTTTTCTTCTTGCTCCTTATGACGTGACTTTGGCTTGAAGTCACTTTATAAAGTCAGATTTTCAAATTATTTTCTAACCTAACTCTGCTTTAAACTTCTCCAGAACTTTCTGCCTGAGCTGCCTTGTTTACTCTTTGACCTCCATGATGCTGATAATCCACTCAAGCTCTCTAACCTTCAATGCTGACATCAAATTACACACACTGTTCACTAATTAGGTGACTCTGGAGGCACTTAGCTTCACTTATCTTTATTTTAGATTGAAGGTATGTCACGGTTTGTCATGGTTTTAAATTTTTATTTGAAAGAAACGTAAATATTTCTACCTTTAGAGCTATGCACCCCAATGTGTTGGTCTATTAAGTTCATGTTTATGGTTTCAATGTGACAAAATAAAACACTTTAAAGAACTGTATCATTTCCTGTATGGTTTATCCCATAAGGTGGTGCCCTACTTGCGGCACTCTTACTAGCAGAGTGCTGAGCAATTAAACTGCTCCTCAGGTCCTCTGAAGGAGTGGCAAAGGGACCCTGGGAAAATGACACAGCTCAAATTAATCACACAGTTTATTAAGTAACTTTGGTGTCAGTGGAACGCTGCTGCCCCTGCCACAAGTAGTTGCACAACTTGGCAGTCAACCAGTTTACCCCTCAGCCTGCTTTCACACACATTCCTACCAACACATGCAGCAATTTCCACACACACTCAGGAATTTTATGCAAACACAAGCTTACCCTCTCCCTTTTTTTCTTTTCTTCCTCCGCTGTCCCTATCTTGGTCTTTTCCGCCGCTGCTTCATTTCCCAGCCTGCTGAATACTTGAATGTCATTACGACTTCTGCTATCAAAAGCAAACAGCAGGGCAGCATTGAAGAGCACTTGTTATAGTTCCATTTTTCCACGCTCAGAGTGCTGTTTTGACTGTTCCTGCCGTCTTTCTGGCTCTTTCTCACAAATTGACGGGTGTTTTGGAGGGACAGATTTATTGACAAACCTCTCGCTGTGAGGCTCATCTGGCCCGCGTTGTTATTGGAGACCCCCCTCTCTTCCCCTCTCTCTGTATTTACAGCAGAGTTCCTCTCCGCCGGCGCGTGTGTCAATGAAGATGACTTCGTATCTGCGACTAAATTCGATCCCATTCGCGCTTTGGCAGGCGGAGGGATTTGAACAATGTAATTGAGTTAATGAGCGACACACCCTTATCTGCTGTTCATTCATACAAGCAGCCTGAGGTGTGGCGGATATCAGCTTCTCACACAGGCTACTGTATGTTTGATGCATCCCTTGAAGGAGAAACATTGATAATGCAGACAAACTTCCTTGAGGCAAAGAGTTGTGATGTGTAAAACAAAGAAAAGAGCAGTTGATACCCTGCACTTTTCTTTCTATCTTACTCAACAATGAATATTTCTTTATTTTTTTCTTTTTTGGTTTGTTTGTTGCGGCTCAGCATTCGGCTCCACTGAGCTATTTTCAGGTTATCTTCACAGGCGGGATTAGGAGGTGCACTGCGTTGTTCGCGGGAGGCGTCACGCTTGACTTTGTGACAGGGCTTGGCAGCGTGCCTGGGAGAGAGCGAGAGAGAGAACATCTTTCTCCTGTGTGTGAGGAGAGTTTGGTGACATTTCCTGGTTCTTCCCTGCGGGGGGGCTGAAAGAATTAGAGCTGGTCTGGTTTCATCAACCTCCCGCTACAATTTACCGAGACCCTGTTTGAAAAAAAAAACGTCACAGGGTCAGTTGCAAGTCGGAGGACGGCTGCGACTTGACATTTTTGTTGGAGTGTTGCGGGTTACTTCTCGATGGAGCAAACATGTAAACCATGGCAACCCCCTCTGTGACCTGCCATCTCAGAGTGCATGGAGTCTTAAAAAGGGATTGTGTTTTACAGAGAGCGACTGCAGAGTCAGGACCGGTTTATCAAATTATCTGAAAATACCAAAGATAAAGCTTTTAAAGAGCACTGGAGTGAAAACCCGGAGCATTTTGAAAACATAATTGGACCAACCTTTTAGTCTAACATGAAATGTCATGCTTCGGAGCATACATTTGCTAAATTTGCAGAATGTAACTTAATTAGTGTTGTCCAGTTCTTCACTTGACGTATTCAAGGTACATTTTAGGATTTGAAAGTTTGGCTTCATCTGCTCTACTTTTTGTTTGATGTCTGATAGCAGCATGAAAACATATCACAGCTAATATCCTGCGATATGTTTAAATGTCCTGAAATTTTTTGGAGTCAACAGGTGGATTTATTTGTTGACTTTTTACTTCTGTCTGATGTGTAGCTTTTACAGGATTTCACTTTATAAAAAAAAAAAAAAAAGATCATGTTTTGGGAACTTCTTGAAGCTCTCTAAGCTTTTAGAGATTCATTGCCATCTGTTTTTTTTAAGACGTTGAGAGGTGTTAATTATTATTATAATTAATCCACACAGGAGCATCTTCAGAACGGTTTCAGAAATTTACCAACTCCTTCAGACGGATAAGATCAAAAATAATAACGCTTATGGCAAATTTAGAATATTTTTTTACTTTGTCGTTGACAGGAAAGGACACAGGCATGTTTTCTGAAGTAAAATAAAGCATAAAAGGAACATCAATTTTTATGATATATTTTAATAAGTTGGAAGCTATAATATTTATGCTGTCATGATAAATAATAAAAAACCCTCTTGTATGTAAAAAATAGAATATAAACATAAATTATAAAGTCTAGTTTCTGAGGATGGAAGATCTCAGTTCATAGATTACCTCAGAGTCTATATCAGATACAAGACAGGACTCTGATGGGTTACTTTCAAATGTAAATGTTGGCTAAATTAAAAGATTGCTTTAAACCTGAATCTGCCAGCGGTTTGAATAGTTTTGGTCTTAAATAGCTCCCGTCTAACTCTGCATATTCAGCAGCAAAGTCTTTATTGAACCTGTTTCTACTGAGGAAGAGCGAGGTTAGAAGCAGCAGCAGGCTAACAGAAGCTTAAACCCCGTATTGAAGTGACTCTTTAATAGCAGGTTTTCCAGAGGTTACAGTTAATTGGGTGAGGATTTACAGTAAAGTGTTTCTGCCGCTTCAGGTTTTTAAGACCTCATGTCGCAGCTGCATTCAGCTCGGCTCTGTCAAATGTGACTGAGAGACGCCAGAGGAACAAAATGGCAAAGATATCAAAAATAATAATATTCACAGATTTACAAACTGGATAATATTCTGAATTTTACACTGGATTATTCCAAGTGTTTTTTTTTTTCAAGTTGAACAAGAGAATGTAGCAAATTATTTTAACAGATTTTTTTTTTTTTTGTTGGACAATGACAAAATAGAGTTCCTTGTTTTTTGTCATTGTTTTTATTTTAGAAATTAAACTAAATTTAAGTTACAATCGTTTATTTGCACAACCCTATCACATGATTATGCCAAAAAGTTAAAATATTTAAATACACACAACAATTTCATATAAACTTTACCATTACCAAAATTATTTGAATTTGATTTAAGAAATTTGCATTCACAAAGATCACTTTACCTTTAAGCAAACTGGGAAACCCTAGATGATAAAGTGATTAATCGATCAATTAGAATTCATCAAGCCCTTTTAACACAATTAAATGAAACACAAAGTACTTTTAGAATTATACACAAGAAATAAACATTCAAACATTCAATCGTACCTAAAATTGTTAAAGCAAAATGAGATTTATTATGTCATATTTGGCCTCAAGGCAAATAAATAATGATTAAACATAGTTAGACTTTATTATTTAATATTTAAAAAACATACAATAAAACCAGCCAAGTGTAAACTTGTTTGGAATTTCATGAACAGAGAAGTAAAATAGAATAAAATAAGAGACAAGTACTGAAGTTCAGGTAGAAGTCAGAATAAAAGATTAGCTGTTCTCTGGTGTTCAGGAAAGTTGCTCTAAGGTGAGGGCTCTAATAAATTAATAAGGCTTATCGTGAGTTTTGGTTTTAACTTTAAATGCTGTCAGACAGCCTTTATCAAAGAACCTGGTGAGTCTGCAGGGCTTTTATAGTGGAATTAAATCAGATATGTCGGCGTGAAACCATCAATACTTCCATCAATTCCAATAAAAACACCTTAAAATCAAATCTAAAATGCACCAGTAGCAAACACATCTACTCTAACATCTGTGTGATGTTTGCTTTTTCGTCCTGGTCAGCATTCTTGCAGCTGAATTTAGTAGTAGCTGTAGTGGAGCTGTGCTTTCCTCTAGAAGACCAGACAGAACTGCATTATCAATATCAGATGTTATATAAATACTTAATTTGCTTTTCTGGTCAAACTTTGGCAATTGTTTCGAGATGTATCATATTTGATCAAATATAACACATGGATTATTTATTCTGTCTGATGAGTTGGTTACCAGTTCTCAAAGTTGAGCTACTATTTTTTCTTTCTAAATGTATGTGATAAAAACTGAATGAAAATATTTTCATCCACGACTACATGAGTTCTGTACCTACATGTTTCAAAATAGGGTCATTACTCATGTGGAAGATGATTTTCTGTCCAAAGTTTGACTTCCTGAATCAAGTCTTTAATACAGCCTGCAATGGGCCAACATTCTAGTGAACTACTATGAGAGGCTTGAAGAAGGACTTAAAGAAAGTAAAATAAATTAAAAAAAATCTATTAGGATTCTGGGAGATTCCAAATACATATAATTTTGGAAATTCTCACTGACGGTTATATGGAAATAACTGCATTTAACTGTAAGTCCTTTTCGAATAAAAATACTTTATTGTTGTCCATGAAAAACACCAACCCCAAAGGACCACATTCAGTGTTAAAGTTGAGTTAACAAACATTCTGATGCATGCAAGAAAAAAATAAAACTAAATTAACCCAGAAAAACAATTCACAACAAGGACAAATTAGCTTCTGGGGCTTATTCCCATTGCAAGTTACAATGACAGTTTTTACACTTGCTGCAAGAAAAATAAGGCAAAAATTCGCAGATTAAAGTTTGCCTTCAGCTAAAGTTGCCAATGTCAGGTAAAACCCTCTGGGTGAGACAACACTGTAATTGGGATCTCTACGCTTTATTGTGACAATTTGTCCAGAAATGTGGCCTCAGCCAGACTCCGTCCTCCTCCAGCATCTGCTCCTTTACAGTGTTTGACTAGAGGAGTGGCTAAGTGTTAAAACGTGCTCCAATTTCTTGTCCTCAGAAGAATCCAATCACTTTCTGTTTTCTTTAGTGGCTCCTGCAGAGATTAGCCCCAGTCAGCCCAGTCATAAACAGATGGACACATCCCTCTTAGACAATAGACAACTGTCATTGCATATCTGGGCAAAGCAGCGCTGCATACACAGCACATACTGCGAGAATGACTGACAACAGAAGGGAGTCCTCTCTTGCTTAATTGTCACTCTTCCAAATTGGTTCATCCTCTCTAAACTGCACCTATCAAATCCTCTGTCAGGAGTGAATCACTTAACTCCTTCCAATCAACTGATGTTGCTCACTTTGAAGGGAAAATTGAAAGCTTCACCTGAATCAAGTGACATCTTCAATTTTCATAAAGAAAGACCTGATGAAGGAACATGTTATCTGTGAGCGGCTTTCCAACATCTATATAAGCACATGAAACCAAAACAAATACCCAATTATATATTCTTTGGAGCCTCTAATTGTACAGAAAATGCATGATTGAAATTCAAATGACCACTTTAATATCCGAAAAACAAAGCTACACTGGCGCATCTACGTAGAAATACAGCTGAATAGAGTTTAAAAATCTTTTTGTGCTTATTATGGCTTTTGCTTAAGAGTAGGAACTAAAATGGGACCTTGAAAGCTCCATTTAGATACTCCTAAGATAAGCATTAATAATTCATAGTGCCAGATGCCATAGACAGTGTGATAGGGTAACTCTTTATACACTATGTTTCAAAGCGAAGTCGCAGACGCCGTCACTGTCAGAGGAGTAAATCCATTAAAACTAGAAATAAGAACAGTGATGCAACACCTGCCATTTGTCAGATGATTTCTCCCCGAGCGCTGCCTCGGCTGCATGCATTTCTGAGTTTCCAAACCTAGTGATAGAGCTGGTGCAGAGACGTATTCACAGGAGACTCGACAATGCAGCAGATTGTGTGAAAGAATTCAATAGGAAAGGTCAGAGGAGGATGACGGTCTACTGAGAAAAGATGCTTGTTACTCAAAGAATAGGAATAATTTTTATCCAGTGTTGGATTGTGAGGCATATTTGAGATATTTCACTTGCCATAAACTGGATGAAGTTTGTTTAGAAAATGCCAATTCATAAAAAAATATAATCTCAAGACACTTTTAAAATTACTTCAGACAGATTTGGTCAAAAAAATCAGATCAAATCAGCCCAGTTTGATGTGAATTATACCTGAATATAGACGGAAGAGGATTGAGGTCAATTTTGACTTTTCTCCACAAAATTCTGACTTTAATCTCAGATTAAAGTTTGAGATTTGCTTTGGAAATATCTTCATGTTTTTGGAAACATCTTCGTGTTTTTCACCCTCTCCTGGTGACAATGAAACACGCATTAGCTTTAAAATCTTCCCCAGGGTTGTCAGAGCCTGAGTAATAATTTAAACTGCATTTTAAATTGAAAACAGTTATTAACAGTTATCACGTAAAATATTACTAAAAAGATAAAAAATAATGTTTTAGAACAAACAGTCTACAGGTTCAGTAAAGCAAAAATACTTCAACAATCCTGATGTCTTTCTCTCAGCGTCAGTGTTCTACCCATACTTTAATATTAAAGTGTTTTATCATACGCTGTCAAAATAGGCGAAAAACTAAAGGCCTCACTGGAAATCAAATTATACAGCTACCCATATCCCAGCTTGGAATCAAAGCAGAAGAAAGCTTAAAAAGAAAATATCAACCAACACAAACCGCAGCAGACATTTAGAAGCACTAAGCCAAAGGCAGCTGACATCTCTACTGGGCTTGTAACTTTATTGGGGTTTGGTATCAGAATCTGATCAGTGGAAATTCATCTGTGTCTCCAATGAAACACTAAAACTTCTGCTTCAGCGTGTTGCAGCTTTTGGAGTTTATTGGACTCATTTCTCATCAGAATCAGACGAAGTGGAGCAGTGGAAGTCGGTATGAAGTACCAAATAAGAAACTCTTTCATTCAACCCTGGTTTATTCTAACCTTCACCTTTAGTTTGTCTCTTTCCAGAATATCACTTCAGTTTTTACTCAGGCTTTCAGCAGCAGGTCAACCTGATGGGTACAAGAGGAAGAGGACAGTGTAAGCTGACTGTTGCATTGCATTTTGGAATTTGTAGTTTTACTGTTTTGAGGCAGATATGGCTCTTTAGTTCTTGGTATTTCTGGTCTACGTAGGAACTAAGAGGTCAAGTCTTTGACCTGGATGTAGGTCGATTCCTCTTGTGTCCGTATCTCAACAGGTCAGCTCTGCTGGAGGTCTGAGGATGACCAACAATATGTCTGTAATTTGTTGTAATGCCCAAGTTTAATAAAACCTCATACTGAGAATTTCATTTATGAGCTTCATAGTGGTGCTAAATAAATGTGCAAATCGAAAAGGATCTCAAGATAATTTTTATGATTCAGCCTTTGAGGAAAGTGTTAACAATTTGCATGACAGACTAATCAGTAATACCTGAAAAATATAAATGTGGAGCAGAGAGTTAGAAGACAGACCTGTAGAAAAACTGTGCAATTTAATATTTATAAGCAATAGCAAAAAACATTGTTATTAATCTGGAAATTAGGGGGAAAAATACATCTGAAAAACTGGAATGATAATGCCCAGCATCCTCTTCTCCAGCCAGCTGTGCTCTACTCAGAGTATCCATCACTGAAGCATCCCTGCCAGAACCAATGGCGAGGGGACAAATTACCATTTGGAGCAGAACCCAGCTATAAATGCAATTGGTTTGGATTTGAAACTTCCATCCCAGCTTTGGCTTTCAACAAAATAGAGTCCGTTCTACTTCTGTTTTTTTTTTTTGCCACCCAAGGCATCAGAAAACAAGATTAGATAGAGGTAGAGAGAGGTATAGATATATTAGGCAGGAAGGAGGCACAGTCAAAGGAGACAGGAGGAAAATAAGACTTGTTCAGCCAGCGAGAGCGCCTTGGATTTTTAAATTGGAAAGGCCTTGAAATAAATCCCAATTTAATGCTGTAAAAGGTGTGAAAATGTGTGAAATGCTGATTGTATTAGAGGTCATATTTTTCCACAACTGTTTTATATGTTTCTTTATCCTGCATGTCTCCACTCATGTTATTTCAGAGCGGGCTGTAGTTAGCAGCACAAAAGGCAGCGTAATGTTTTATTCATCATTTCTGCTTTAGTAAACAACATTGGACTTCATGTTCCTCAACACACAATTTCATGTTGTCCCTTTTATTACGCCGTCCATTTATAATTTCACAATTGTTGTTCACTGGACTGAATTGCAAATGAGTTGCTTTTGGCAGTTTTATGGTGTTCTGCTTGTCGCATTGTAAGATCTGCAAAGCCGTTGCCGCGTTTTGACAATAAAGTAATTACCATAAACAAATCGCAGCATTACTGAGGAAGATTGTGGAGGTTTTCTTTGCAGCATTTTACTCATCGTCCAAGTCAGAGTTTAATGGAATTCCTCCAGAATGTGAACAAAACTTATCATCTGCCTCATAATTAACATGTATTACTCACATGTCTGTTTATCTGCATAATTTCTGTGAAAAAAATGAACTAATGGCACAAAAGGGTTGAAGCAAGCAATTTACCATGATAAAATTGCAGATAGGATAAGGACAGTAAATTAGTGAAAATGATTTATGTTCGTAGCAAGTCATATGGGCATTTATTAAAGAAAATTCTGAGAAGACTTGAGAGTAAAGAACAGATTTTCTGTTGGTTTCTACTAGCAGAAATAACATGTAGTCAGTTAAATTCTGATCAACAAACACATGAAGGTGCAAACACACACACACACACACACACACACACACACACACACACACACACACACACACACACCCACACACACACACACACACACACACAAAAACAATAGATGAACAGAATAATGCATAAAATGAAAGTCACAGAAAACAGATGAAAAAACCCTACAATATAAAAAACAATCGCCAAAGAAAAATGCTGTAATCACATTCAAACTATTGCACCCCATGAAACTGAAGCCAGAGAGAAAATTTGTGTAAGTAGCAAAACAACAGAAAGTTAAAAATCCTACAAACTTGCTACATAAAATATAATTTCTCCAGAGCACCACTGGAGTCTGGAGTAGTTAATATGCTGCTGTTTTATAATAAACATTCCGTTTTGTAGCGTTTGCAGCGTTTTATACTTGGTGTTTTTTATGCTATTCTAACCATTTTCCCTTTTGTTTCTTTGTTTGCAGCAGTTTTTGTTTGTATTTTGTTGATTGTAGATTTCTGCTCCTATTTTCTGCGTTTGGAGCCCTTTTCTGTGGTGTTTGTGTTTTGAAGTTTGCATCAGTCATGTGTCTGTGGCGCGTTTCGCTGTTAGCAGCCACCTGCTCAGTGTATTTATATAACACCCAGCTGATTTCATTGACTCTGGTTTAGTTCTTCATTCCGAGACACAGCTAAGCATACAGGCACTGGTCCTGGTCTACTTTCAATGCAAAGAATCGTGCATGGAGCATTCATACCTTTGTGAATGACTCCATCCAGAAACACAACTGAAAGGACCAAACTAGAATAATCTGGTTAGTCCTGGAAAGGAACCCAGTTAAACACACACATTGAGCTAGGAATACTTTCCATTGAAAAGAAAGCAGTAAAGGTTAATGGCAACAAGAGCTCAGCTACAAACCAATCCAATAAATAGACAGTTAGTTAGAACTAAACAAGGAAGCAGTGAACCAGGATACTTTCTATTAAAAAGAAAAACAGAGAACATGTAGTTTATGGCAGATATATCTTAATCAATGACTCCTTGCAATACTTACACTGCACAGCACAGAAACACTGACATTGGTTATTTTCTACTGAAAGAAAACCGAAGAAAGTAAACAAATGTAATGGTAATAACAGCCTAATTTGTCTAAGAGAAACATTTGAACAAGGAATTACTGAGAATAACGCATTTCTATAGAAAGAGACCATATACAGAAAATATTAACGTTAATGGCAGCAAGCTAAGCTGCTCTGAAAGGAAAACAGGTATAGAGGTAATAGAGGCGCTAGGCAAGGCGTACCTTCTATGGAGATGAGGGCAGTGAAAAAAATTACAGAAATCTGATATTTTAAAGCTTCATTTGACTCTGCATTGCTTTTATTTACAGGTACAGAAGCTAAAGATCAGCAGCTTGCTTGGCCATCTGGTGCTTTTCCAACATTTCCTCTATATTTGCGTTCTTCTCGGCCTCGGCTGACTCCTGCGGGACATGCTCAGCTCTTTAGCTG